TTATTTTTGCAACGTGTGTATTTTTAATGTGCATTAAGAAACGAACTTTTGCTTACGACAGTGCTTGAGATCAGAATTTTCCATAAATTATGACATTCTATTTTTTCACTTATAAGATCGTGTGAGAAACTGAAAATGACAGACACATTATACTCATTGCTATTATTTATTTGTGCGTATTTTCCTTCTACAAACACTTCACATTCATTCTTTTATGACATGTGTTTTTTATGCCTGAAGCATCTTTCTCGGAGTAAGATTGATTCAGTTCACGTCACGAAGCGCTTCTAGTTTTGATAAAATAGTGTCGATATGGATGCGTACTAATGAACTGTATCAATCAAGCATCTGACAAGATAGACTGCGTGCCTATTCTGGGCTTGGTACACATTTTCCTCTTCGTCCTGTCGCATTAGTGGAATAGGATAGCTATTATTTTCGAGAGAAGAGCTGAACAACATTGGTTCTGCTCTTAAAGTTGAATTTATTTTATATACCCGTATCCATATGAAAGAGTTAAAGCCTTTTATTAGGAACTAAGAGATGGAGGAACCGCGAAAGATTCTCACAATGAAATATTACTTAACTGTCACATTAACGTAATATTTATCATTTAGTCTATATATCCGATATTTTAAATAAAACATAAGTATAATAAATAAATTTATTTTTTAGCATTCTTGTATATATATTAAGTTAAACGTGCTAAGATTGCAATGTAATAGAATTTTCATTAATTAGAAGAGCTGGTGTCTCTACCGTTAGATTCAACTATCTCGAAGATGATTGTCTACGTTAAACTCGCGTTATCCATCGACCATCAGCTGTGCTTTATGAACGGCACATCCTGCATCGATGTACTCCGCAGTTCTCGAAAGTCACTCGACGTGTTCACGCTTCATATCGTTTCGTGGCTGCAAGCTTTAGTTATGAGGCAGATTTCGGTTGATCAGATTATTTCGTAGATTCACTTTTGCTGGCATTAATTGGTTCCTTCTAACATACACGGAATAGCAGTCTTTTATGTATGACCTGGAAATTTAGCGTCGAAATGCGATGCAATCTAAAAATATTTTATTTCAATTAAATTCTTTCTCTATATTGTTTAATGGTATGTGATTCAATCCCGCGATCATTATATTAATTTTGAAATATATGATTACTCGATTGTGTTACTCGTACATAAACTCATTACTACATGAAATATAATATTCCGAGCTCCCCGATTCGTATAATCTCTTACATATTTACTCTTGAACATCTTAAATTAAAAAAAAAAAAAATCATAGGCAGCAAACTGTCTGCCTTATCTTGAATTTATGGAAAAAGATTCGAGTTTAATTTCTTCAGGAAGATCATTAATTTACATTTTTTTTTTAATATTTACGGATCAAATATCATATACTTGTTAATAAAGAACGTAATAAAATAAAGATGTTTTTTAATCGTGCGCAAGTAGGACGTCAGATGCCTCATGCTTCTGCTCCAGCGAGCGGATGATAATTATCATAATGCGCTCGCACTACTTCCTGCTGCTACTCGCTCGGCGATACACGGTTGCGCAGCCTGCACAACTGCAGTCTCGTCCTTGTGCATCTCGGTCATGACGTAGCGCATAAAACTCGATCGAACATACGAACACCCACGTTCGAGCGAGAGAAGTTTTCGTCGATCGCTATCAGGAATTTTTACGAGTTATTTTAATCTCTTTCAGAGTTTGTGGCCTCTTTGAACAATTTACAATAAATTTTTTCATAATATAAATGTGTATGTCAAATGCATGTTAATAATTTTTATATTATAAACACAAACGATTAAAAATTCTTTTAATTTTTTCAATAATGGGAATTGTTTATTATATACAAAAGATTACTGTATAGAACTTACTATATAGAACGGCTTTTTAATTTATTAAATTTATGATTTCTTTATGTTAAAAATTCACGTGGTTTGTTAATTGAAATTGCGTATTTACGACGAACAACTAATTTGTTGTTAGCTAAAGCAATTTATGCACTCGACTGATGATGTTTTTGCTCAGATTAACAAAGAGGGATTTATATGTTTTGAATAGATGTGGCTAAAACGATGAGTGTTGGATTTATTTTGATCTGCGATTATTTTGATCTATACACTCAGAGAGTTCTTTATAAATTTATCGTGCCTTCCGTTCGTGCTTTTTTTCGAAATGTTTCTTTCCGGTAACTAAGAAAAATGTCATTGCAATCTCGATCTATAATAATCTGGTTGACTCAGAAATTTCTACGCAGTTTCGTCATCATTAAAAAATTACTCCCTAATGATAGCTCGCCTTTTGAAACGTTTTTAATATCGAGCTCTTATTTATCGAACCGAAATTTATCATGACGTTGAAAATTTTTGAATTTAAGTTGTTTAAATACTATGTATAATGATGCATTTTCTTTACGGATAACATAAGTATATTGCGCTGTAATATCCTTGAGAGCTCGGTTTACTCATGTCATCAACCTCAGGCTCGTTGATGGCATAATTAATGGCTTCTGTCATGTAAATTTACATTAAAGCAAGAAATAGTAGCGCTAGGTATGCGAAGCTCGGTACTTGTTATCGCAAATCTACCGCGGGACTTGGGACGTACGCGAGAAATGTATATATATAAATCAGATAAATTGCCAAGTACCAGTCATTATTACTACTTAATTTGTGTTACTGATACGAGGAGATAATCTTATACTTTTATAAAAAGCGTGAGAAGCGAAGCACAGCAAGTCTCGGAATAAACATATATATGCGCAAAGGAAATAATATTTAATATAAAAAAGATTAAGAGTATTCGTGATAAAATATTGTTTAATAGATTGAACACGCATTCAACATTCAACTGTAGAGAGAAGAAAATTGAAAAGAGAAACAGGATTTTAGTGAATCCCGGGTCTTTGAGAGAATCTGGAGATAGCTTCGCCGTGCAACGCACAATCTCGTATTCACGCTCCGTTTCCTATCCAAGTATGTTTAAAGCGTTAAGCGATTCCTTTGTACGTCGGTGTTTCGAGTTCTACCACGCCGGATTTAACGAGTCCCCGTAACTGAATTAATAGACCACTTTAATTAATCTATTAATAACTTAATTGATCGAAATAATTATTTTAATAATATATACAATGTCGAGCCTGGTATACATAACAGTTCATGTACCTGAGGCAGGCAAAGCAGTCGATTACCCTTCATCTCAATTTACCCGTGATTTTTCTGCCTTTCCTTTTTTTAGCCCCATCGGAGCCTTTTTCCAATCTCCTGAACCTCTTATCGATCCGCAATCCACCCATTTGGAAATATCTTGGGGATAGGTCAAACGCTTTGACAGATAGTATGCCGAGAGATTGAAAATAATAGCGTGACGTCGGATATCTGACGGATTCTACATCGTTGCGTCATAGATTCGCGGCTGCTTCCGATTTAGCACGGCCTGTATGATCTGGTTTGGTCACGTTATCCGCGGCGAAAAATTTTTGGTGGCATAATCCATTAGAGATAACGGGAGTGGCCATATATTTCAATCGATAACCTAGTTAAAATAATCGACTTATAAAGCACAGCGACTGTCTTTTTTTCTCTTTCTCTCGTAAAATTTCATTTTTTAAATATTAATCGCTTAAAAGCTTTTATAAAGACATTTCGAATTCACCGCGATATACGAGTGTCATATTAAAATTTTAAGAATTTGAAAAATATTCGAGAGATAGAAGCAAAATTAAAAGACTAACAAATTTTACAAAATATTCGTTTGAAATTCTTTTAATGGCATTTTTATTTTCTCATGTAATAATAACAAAATAAATTATACAAGATATATGAATCGCACAAAACAGTAGCAAAATGAGTTTGTGTAATTATATCTCTACATTATATAATTATATCTCTGTTTCTTTTATTGTATTGTTCTATAATTGAAATTATGCAAGAAATTTATTAATTTTCATGTAAATCTGAATGTTTTCTGTAACGTCCCTTTTTTTAATTTACAAACAGATTTTAAATAATGAACTACAGTCGAGATGATGACCAGAACGCTTTAGACATCAATTCATTGTGCATTGCAGAGCAATACTCATTCATTGTTAATCAATGAGCTCGGACGTAAAACAAGTTACCTCCAGCACGGATGGAATAATAAGTATTGAGAAATGGCGTTAGCAACAAAAAGTTACCGCGGGTGCGTCTTGTTTTATATTTTCATCCCACGGGCGCAACTTATTTTCATTCAAACGCCGTGGACGCGGTATATCAGCGTTTCAATGCATGTATGAAAGCTTGTGACCGACAGTGCCGCTATTATATAGCAAACAGGTGTTCGCTTATTCCGGTGACGTCCTTGTTGCATCCGTAAACTCGGTATGCTCGTATCGTCATGTCCGGATAGACAAGAGAGGTTTCATCACGTACTAATGTCCGCGCTCGTAAACGCGTTTTACGAGTATATATATATGTCGGTATACATTCCGACAACATAAACAATCTCTTACGCAAAATTATTAGTGATAAAACCGAAATTATTTTATTTATTCGGTGTATCTTCCTCTTAAATACAGATTTAGCAGTTAGCTCGTACCTAAAGTGGATAATAGATCATTATTGTTAAAATTATATCACGCGAGATGAGATATTGCGCGATACAGTCATACCCAGAATTATTTTAGGATACGCGGGGCTAAAATCGACACTTTCCGAAATATCGGGGACATAACATATCCAATTTGCGTCCACTCGTTTTATCTAGCCGACACGTGTTCGGAGGTCGAAGCAATCGGTGGCGACGAGGACGAGGGTTAAAGGTATCAACCGACATGGTACGCGGCACTGCGACACAGCGATAGTGCTGCGTCGCGGGGGTGGCAATGGCTATGACGATGATGTTGGCGGCGGTGGTGCGGCGAGGTGGCGGCGGCGACGGCGGCGGCGGCGTCAGAGCCACCGTCGCCCCGGCATCGCATCCTCTCGCCGGAGTCGGAGTCAGTCGGCTGCCAGGCGCGACGCGAGTCAGTAGTGCCCGTGTGTAAAAGCCTATCCGCCAGTCTTCTTCGCTACACTTCGGCCGCGCTCGGTCGATCCCGCTCTCTCGGGCTCCTCTTCTCTCCCTTTTCCCTCCTCTATCGTGTGCGCGCGATCGTTACTCTGAGAGAACGTCCGCGAGCGCCGTGGATCCGCGGCAAGTGAAAAGCCGATGAGAGTTCGTACGACGAGAGTTTCCGGATACGACACGGGATAGGACATTCGGCGTTCGACGCCTGTCATCGGCGGATACCAGCGCGCTGGTATTGCGACGACTCGATTCCCGAATAACGACCGCAACCCGAATTGGAATACTCGTTGACGTTTGAGCGGCGTGGGTAGAGAAACTGTGCGCTGCAGTGCCCTCTCAATGGGGATACAGATATCCCGTGAGATATTGGGAGAGTATTTCCCGTGAGAGATTTGAATGATACTTGTATAATAGCTTGAATAATGTATATCGCATCGAGGAATTGAAGAGCTCTGAAATTAATCAAGGAAGCATAATATTGTGCTTTCCGTTAACGAAATCTAGACTGAGATCAAGACGGCAGCGCGGTTGTTTTGCAAACGGAAACTTTGAATATCGGTTATACAATATGAAGCAGGATTTCGCGTTAAAATTAAGGAGGTTCTAGTTGATTAAAGCATATACAATATTCTATCCTAATAGTGTGAAAATATTAAGTTTAAGATAAAACAACGATACGAAGACAGAAAATCTATATAATTACAAGTTAAAGCAGGATAACTTGAATGAAGCGATCTCGAGATAAACAACAAGACATTTAAACTTTGAAATTGATCAAGGGGACCAATCTCTGATATTCAACAGGACAAATTAATTGTGCAGATAGCAGATCTAAGCAACAATCGCCAGCAGAATAGGATAGCGAGATTAAATAGTTTATTTTTGGAGCGCTTCTCTCTCTCGAGACAGAGCATGCTCTCTCGAATAGCAACACATATGCAGCACGAGACAAAAAATAAACACAAGTCGAGACAGGATAACTGACACGATATCGAAATAAGCGTTGGAATTAAATATTCTGCATTCGACCACACGCGAATTAAAAGGAATATTTATAAACTTGATATCCGGCACGAGACAACGCACATCCGCTGCGTGTTCCCGTAGAGTCCGCGTATCCAGCACAAGAAGAGACGAGTCTCAACTGCGACGAGCGCGATCAAGCCGGTCGTTGCACTTCGCCTGCTCATTCTGGTAAATCTCCTCCGGGGACGCCTCCTCGCAATATACCGTTACTATCACGATCGGACGAGGCCTCCGCCTCTTGTCTCGTGTTTTACTCGCACGACTGTTCCACATCAGACTTTCCGATTTAAACGAGAACGCTTCGAGTGTTTATTTTTTGTAAGACATCGCGAATCGGACTAAAAGGATTTTAGTTCGAGGTCGTATCAACAGATTACAATTAGTCCGCGTATAATCAAATCGACGACAAAACGAACTTCGGATAGGAAGAAGCGTGTGACTTCTCGATCATTCTCGAAAACATCCAGTAAATTTCAAGCTAGTGTAAAAAGTGTTGATCGTCGCGTGGAAAGAGGACAGTCGGGCGATACACGAGAAAATTTCAATCGCTGTTATGCGCGCGCTAACCGAAGCGATGAAGCATCGCGCGATCAGCTGACTAGTCGAGTTATTCGGCGGCCGTACCGCTGATAAGGACACTATCCGAGACAAGCACCCCGGGCGACACCCGCCGCCCGCTTGTTCTGTCATGACATTTGGCACGCCATTCCACACCGAGAAGTCGCAGTTAGCCAGCGAGAATTCCGCTCGGTATGTATTTGTATGCTCTCATTGACAATGATGTGTATTCGTGTCATTCGATCTGATTCCTGAAGCAAATCCCGATTTGACTTTGAAGCAAAAAAATTTTTAATCTATTCTCTCAATTAATTATATCGAACATTAATACATATTTTTTATCTAATTTTATTCTTTAATGTTGACTTATTATTTTATTATGGCACTGGTCTTTTTTTTTAATTGTAATTTTTATGCATTATATGTATAAACGCAAATATGATTAAAAATATAATGTGGTTCGATGCAAATTGTAAGAGTGATATAGTAGGGGTAGTTAATGTTATTTATTTTATATTTACTTAAGGATATTTTTAATTGACAAGAATAAAGTTGCACCGTTCGGATAATTATTGACGTTTTTATAACATTTTAAGGTCTCTCTTATATGGCGAAAAAAAAAACATTACATCGTAGTCAGCATTCATTTACTGAAAGAGATAAGCTGTTATCCATCTTTTGAGTTTTCTTAAAACTTTATTTTAGGATAATCGATGTACACAGAAATATCAGACTTTGAATAATTTAATATTATTTAATCTTGTGAAAAAGTTTATTTATACAATGTCATTAACTTACGTAAATAATTTACGTAAGTAATCATCTCTTTATTAAATGCTTTTTTTTATTGTTTGAGAATTTATATACTTCTGTTTTATTATTATATAAAATCTCTTATTAAATTGAATTTTTTATTGTCAGACAATTTTATTGACCATTAATTTCTTTAAAGATCTGAGAAAAGTGATCATAAAAGCACACTTTATATGTCGCGATTTTGTCCTTTGCGGGTAAAGGCATGACTAGCATCTCGATATTAAAACGATACATGTAGTCACGTGCGAATTCATACGGGAAGAAAAAGATCAGCTTTACCAAGCACGTATATATATGCTGCGAGCGGTGAGTAAGAAAAGAAGCTAACACACGAGGAGGAATGCGAATGAGAAAGGCACGCAATTCCCATGCGATGTTATTAACGCTCTTTGTTGACGCCTCGATATATAGCGCGACCGCGCTGTTATTTTTTCGCGGTTATACGTAAAACTTACCGCGATCTCCGAGGGAATGATAAGTTTATTCATAAAGAAAGGATCAGTCGGATAAGAGTTATAAATTTGCCAGTTCTCCCCGCGGCTCATATTTTTCCGTTTAACGTTTAAGCGATTTATTACTCGCGTGAAAACTGCATTACGTTAGGTAGATATTTAATTCTGATTCGTTTTTGCCGTGTAAGTGAAACAAATAACTTTACAGATATTGGAATACATTTTTATCGTGTTTAATACGTGTTTATAACGAAAGTTCAAAAAATATCTGAATAATTTAAATGTTAAAAAAATGACATAGATTAAATCTCGAGGAGAATTAGTTTATAAAATTCTGTAATGCGAGTTAATTTTTGTTAACTTATTTATTTAATGTAATACATTAATCAGATAGTACAATCAAAGATAATCAATCATATAATACGACCGCTGTAGGAATAATACGCAAACATTTTTCAGTAAAAGTATTATTGTAAGCGTTTTCGAATTTTTCTACGATGTCTTCACTTGAAGATTTATGAAATTAAATTATTTTTGCCGATAAATCCGCAACAATATTGTCGAATCGAAACTAATCGACGAACTAAAAAAAACCGACGATATCGCGATGATAGAAACGAGAAAATAAAATCACACAGTGGAATGGATTTTAATATAATTTTATTATTTATAGTGTAGCAACGCGATATATTTTATATATAAACTGTTTTAAAGATATTATGAACCGTAAAAATACATACGCATACACACTCACATTACAACATTAAAATATACAGATCCAAATATTTTTTGTCACAGAAAAAGATACAAAAATGCGTTTGAATGATAAATGCAGATGTACAGTTTAAGTACATCTTAGCTATGCGGAGAGATTCTCATCAGCATAAAGCTTTGAACAGGATATATCGATAAAATATGCGGTCAAGTTTCTCTAATGTTTAAAGGGATTCGAATTGCTAGATAGAAAGCTTTTCTGAATATACATATATTTAAATGTTTTGAAATTTTATTTAAGATTTATATTAATTTGTATTATATAATAATTTGTGTCACGAATCACTTGAAAAAGCTCAACAGTTAACAAAAACCTGTGTTTGTACGAAAGAATATCAAATAATTATTTCAATTGACATAAACACAAAGCATGATTAATAATATTTTTATAGTTTTGTATTGAAGCCTGTTTTCACACATATTTAATTATAAAAATCTTTTTGCTTATTCGAATATCTCGATATATCGCTGACAATGAGATAAAGCTCTTTCTTAGTTACTGATTGTGAATGAGCGAAACATACGGCAAGGAAAGTAGAATTTTTAAACATCGCGAATCCGTTGTCTTAGCATGAACGAAGAAAAAAGATCGTATATTCGTTACGCGTTGGACCCCGGTTATGGTCATTGCGCCAATTCAGTCCGACATCCGTCCACGTCATGCTCTCGCGTGTGGACAGGCACTTCGCTTCGCAGTTAAATACTCCCGTTACGATCACGTTTTCACGCCGCTTCACAGAGATAAAGGAGTTAGTCACATCATTCATGAATTGAGGGTTTTGCGGAAGGCGCTGTCCAACGACTTTTGAACCTTGACGGCGAAGGCAAAATTTACAGGCGGAACGCTTAAATTTAACAGAGTATTAATACTTTTATTTGCAATCGAAGTACGAAGGAGCTATATTATATATTTTTATTCATATTGAAAAGATCGATATTATACAATATATCGAACATGACAATTGTCGTGATGATAATTACGTTTCTGCAACATTTGATTAATGCAAATAATTTATATAAATATGTATGTGTAAAGTTATACAATTATATTCATGTTACAGAGACGAAAGTAAAATCGTAAATTTATTTTTGGCAAAATGCCAGGGAGGACGGTTGCATCATTTCGAACGATAAACCTTTCATAAATGTCTAACTCGCGAAAGTTTGCATTTTCATAAATTACAAAGTCGACGAGATTTGATTGACGCAGTACCGGGATTTCTGATTATAATCGCGTTGGATTCCGATATATATATACCTTCTTCGCGTGCTGTGCATTTAATAATATTTAATTATTTCTCCGCTAATTAACGCAGATTACATTGATTAATATATTAATATATTAAATCCTTTCCTAATTATTGAATCATAATTGTAAATTACATTATTTAACATTATTATAATAACAAAATGTATTATAAGGCACGATCAATTACAGTAATTTAATTTCATAAATATTTATTTAATGAATATTATGAAATTAATGAAGTGTTATTATTGTGTAAGATACAAAAGAGATAGAAAATGCACATAAAGAGAAAGATCGAAATAATAAAGGATCAGTACGCCTATATGAATCATAAATAGCCAGTGTATTGTTACCATTACACTGCGTTTACCGTTGCTGCCAAGTTTCCCATTGTAGAGCGAAGCTTGTTATACATATATCGCGTTTGCACGCAAAGTTAAAGGGTCAAGCTACCAGCGCTTTGTACTCAGAAAAGCAGTAATTAACGCACGGACGTACAATAGACATATGTATGTGTATATAGGTGTATTCCATGAAAAATCAGCTAATTCGTCTTACTTATTGTTACTTCTCCAACTTGTGTACGCGCATTTGCGATCATCGCAGCGGAGAGGGACAGTGACACGTCACAGGATGCACGTGACGAGGCTGACAGCGAGGAGTGTTCGAGGTTGCAGTCAAGGCTGTAGAAAGGCGCTGCCGGTTGCATCTCGCGAGCTATACCGAGCGGTCGTCGACCTCGTCGAGCGCGTTCGTTGCTGTTTGTACAAGGTCGTTTTACTTAGGTTCGTCTTGATCGACGACCAAGTTGATGCGACTAAACGCACTTACGGTATGCATCGGAGTACGTTGACTAGAGATGCTGCTATATAAATCATGTTTAGAGAGCATGGTCACTATCGCATATCGCAATATAGAAGAAACCTTTTTTCTAATGATCTCTTTCTGGATAATTAGAATTATTAATCACTCGAATGATTAGGATTCAAAGTTCAAAATAATACAATGCGTTTTGAAAATTATGCTACAAAAAGATAAATTAATAAAACATTTATGAAAAAGACAGGATATTAATTTGAGACTTTATTGTAAAAATATATAGTATAATATTGAAGTCTGGATGATAGATATCGTGATAATTGATGCTCTTTCTCGGCATTTTTCTTGGAGAAAAATGGACTATAAATTGGTCAAAGAGTATGATATTAAGCGTAGCTGCGGGATACTCTTTACAAGTGGGATATAAAAGGAGATGAAATAAAGTCATCGACCTCAAAGAGGGCCAGTTGCATGGACGTGAAACGCTAACCTTAATTAATTTTATAATTAGTACGTACAAAGGAAATTACAACGTTATGTAGGGAGAAATACGTATAAGCGTTACTGTGAACATCGCGAACGTGCGAGGAATTTCTCATTATTGCGTTTAATGTGTTGTTAATGCAGTTAATGAAGTCATCTAATGAATTGTTTTTAATAATAACAGCGATGAATTGTTTTTGTTGGAAGACGAATGAGAGAAAATCGGCCGATGCGGGAAAATATTCCCGCAAGCGCGGCGCGTTGAAATTAGCAACTCATTTGCTCGCCATAACGGAGAATTTTCGAAGGCTTTTAACGCGTTACTTGATCGGTGTGAGCTATCATTAATCATTTCTTCTCGCTCTACATTTGACTTTCCCAGCCGCGCACATTGTAATAGTTCCATTTTCTCGCTGATTGAACTCTTTCTTCGACTCGCGGTTCTCTTGCGCTTAGTAGAAACTCTTCAATTAAAATGCTACCTTTGAAACTGAAAAAAAAACTGACATCATTCACAAAAGAGCGACTCAAGTTTTGATTATAGTTTATGATTATAGTGGGTGATAATCAAGATGATTATAGTTTATAGAATATAAAAC